TGATGATAAAGACTGGATAGGAGTCAGAAGGAAATGAAACCATGAAAAAATAATGCCGACTGAGGATGATCGATTGAGGGTATGATAGGGCAGCGGCGCTTGGGAAAAGGGTAGAAAATGCTGAGGAGACCCAGGGGAGGGATCCGAAAGTAATTCTCATTTAGGAGGGAGGCAATCTGACCATGAGGGGCTGTGTGGTGCTCTCATGTGGAAACAGGATAGGCGCCGGAAAAACAAGATGGCGCGATGGTTGTCGCCCCCCGTCTACTCTAGCGGTCCGCAAATGCCCATAGATGTAAGGGAAGGGGTATCTGTCGTTCTCCCGGAGGAAGGAACGTGGACGGACCTAGAGCCAACTTATGAAACCGTGATGCTGGACAAGAAGGACGCGTTCCTCTGGATAGAGACGATCTGGACTGAGGTCAGCCTGACAAGACTTTCATCTAGCTTGATGGACCTAGAATTCCTGGGAGCGGTGGAAGCTCGAGGATGGGTCTACGTATACCAGGAAATGGAAAATGCAATGGTTGTGGGACTAGTATTGGGCACGACACCAAATCAGTTGTTTAAGCAAGCGGAACGGGAGGTGGTATGAGCGGCATGTCAGCGGGCGGAAATGGAGATGGAAAAGATGGAGGTGCGAGTGGAACTCGGAGACCGGAAAAATATGAGACGCCCCCTTAGGACGATGAGATGCGTGCTACCCCCGTTTTTTGTGGATGCAGTCTTTGGGACCAAGGATAGATTGGAACGGATATGTCAGTCGATGACGCGCCTGAGGCTGTACCAATGTGCTAGACATGACTTCTTTAGACTGTCGGTGGAAGCGGGGCTGCTTGAAGGAAACTGGGCGGAAGAATTAGCTGAGGTATTAAACCTCCTCAGCGCGGACGAAATTTTTGTTCCCAGTTCGGTGCATTGGCAGATAGTTTACTGGAATGTGGCGGCGGGGGAAACCTTCTTAGAGGGGGTGAAGGACCTGTTCTCAGATGAAGAAGGGGATTTCAGTGACGATGAGGAAGCAGATGAGATAGAGGACTGGGATTTCTGAAAAGGGGAAGGGGCTTACCCAGGGATGGGCTGTCACCTATGTGCAGGTAGGAAGCAATGGCCTGGGAGCGCGAGCTGTGGGACTGCATACCCAAGGGATAGTAGCCGAGACGGGTCGGAAGGGGAATAGAAATGTCCATACCAGCAGATAATGAATGGAGAGGGACCACGTGTGACTGGGTAGGGGCTGAAATTTTGCCCGAATTGTCGTACCTATGGGTAGAACGTGTCTGGAACCCGCTAAGGGAGGAGGAAGGATGAGAAGAGATTGCGGAGGGAGAGGTGGAGTCAGTCGGGACGATCGTTTTGGCTGAACAAGGCTGACACCTGTTTTGAAGAGCACTCGTGGCAAGGCAGAACCCGATGTGGCTTCTAGGGGATGATGAGGCAAGGGCTCGACGAGCGGGCAAGAAGTTTGCTAACAAGGGTTGGGATGTGGTCAGTAGTAGAGTGGTAATGGGTGGATGGAAGGAATTTAGCCCCTCCTGCCAGCGAGTCAAGACCTGGGTACCCGAATTCGTAGTGGATTGGTTTGGGGGCTTCGACCATGTCGAGGAAGTAGCGAGTACTATGGGGCGGGTACATGTGAATTGCGCTTGGCTAACGGAAGAGTTCTATAAAACATCTCTGAAATATGGGCCGTTCCATGGCGATAGAGCCTGGGAGGTTCTCGTCATTTTGGACATCGAAAGGAATGACCGGACGGAAGTGGTCCCGGAAATCAGGGAGGCTATAATTCGCCGCGAGATAGCCGCCACACCTTGCTAGGTAGACAATGTGTTTAAGCTGTTCGAGGTACTGTGGTTTGACTAAGAGCAGAAAAGGTTGTGGGGCCAGGCAAGTATGGGAGAATTGCTAACACAAGGGAATGGAATGCCTGGCCATTGTAGGGGTTGGTGCGAATTGTGGGCCAGGAGACCAAGGACGAGCATGCGATGGCACGAAGAAGGACGTTTCTTGAAGATCGCCCCCTAGACATTGAGCCACCTAGGGAAGTAGAGGGTGGGATAGAAGTTAGTCTGTCGGCCGTGAGCGAAGGATGGCACCCGGTGGCGGACTGGGTCAGGGTTGAGCTTATGAAAAATATGGTTTACCTGGTAACAAGGGTCGAGTGGCGTGCGGATGAGCATGGGGAGTGGAACCCGGACCCGCGGGGGCATGTGCGTGCAGACAGACGATTGTATGTGTTCGAGGATGGGTGGCGCGAGTTTGGGGTTCTATTGGCATCAGGGGAAGACCCATTGAGTATATTCGAAGGGGCATAGCAGTTAGTATGAGAGGCGGGATTTAAGTTCGCGGATCCGGGATTCGATGACGTGACGACAGGTCTTAGGGTAGCCATGGTCGAAAGTTTTGAATTGCTAGTGAAAATATTCGGATGAGGCTGCCGCCTTTTCTGCTGGATCGACTAGGCGGCCTGAAACTTGTCAGACGGGCGGTGGAAGACATCGCCAGCCTGACATATGAAGAAACGATGATACACCAAGAATACTATCCGGCCTTCCTAGAGATGGGGCCATTCAGCGGAGAGCAGAAGTATGAGGTGCTGCGAATCCTGCACGCTGTGTTTACCACTAGACCAAGGGCTCCGGTTGTAGGCAGTGAGGTTCTGTGGGGCGTCGTCCGACGGGAAATAAGTCGGGGGATGACGTACGTAGACGACCTACATCGATTGTATGAGCCGACGGAGGTAGGAACAGGCTGATAAAAGAGCCGAGGAAGGGGAAGGGGATAGAGAGGAAAGGAAGCGTCAAGCTAAGGATCAGGGAGTCGCTCAGGTAAGGGCCGAAGAATAAATGAAATAAGCAAACTCGCGTGCTGTTTAAACTGTGCAGGGGACCACGAAATCGAAATGGCGATGAGACGCGCCCGGATGTCGCGACGGCCCACGCACCCCCGACACCCCACGGAAAGCGGAGACGGATGGGAGGTATCGCTCCCAGCAAGCTACAGGGTCCGAGGGATCAATACCGAATGGAGAGCCGTAACCTTGGGAAGGGACCAGGTGTTCATGATGGTGGAATGCTTGTGGGATGGTATGAGGATTAATAGAGGACCCGGGGACGATCTATACACGGATCTTAGGGTGACGAGGACCGTATACCTACCAGAGCTTGGGTGGCACATGCTAGGAACGGAGTTAGCGCTTGGGCATGGGCTTTTACCGATCTTCCAGAGGGCTACTAGGATATTAAACCGAGTAGGCCAGGAAGTGCGGGGAAGAAGGAACGTGGGATTGAGAACCCGGGTGGAGGTAGGAGGTTGGCGAGAGTTTAAGGCCCCAATGACACGGTTGAGATGCCGAGTGCCTCACTTCATGGTAGACCTGGTATTCGGCAGTCTCCCACGGGCAAAAGATCTGGTGGACTCGACCCTGGTTTGGATTCACCACTTCCGGCCGCAGACAACGGGCATGTTCTATGATGTGTCGGTTAGACATAGACCCTTTTGGGGGAATCAAGCCTGGGAATTGCTTGAACTCATCGAAATCTTGATATTCGGATTGCCCTGCTTATCGTTTGAGCAATACAAGTCAATAATCATCAGGGAAATAGAGATGGGAGAAAATTACCTTGCCGGGGTGGCTGACTTGTTCGAGGAACTGGACGAACAGGGCAGGCCTGAGGGACTAGCGTGAGAAGAGGTGCCAGGGGGAAGATGGGAAAAGTAAAGGATGAGTATTAAGATAAGAGGGTAGCCATCAGCAAAAGGGGGGGCAGTGGTTGGAGTTCCGCCCCACCTGACGATGCAACAGGAAGGAACTAGGAAGACCACCCGCACCAGGAATGCCGGGGCATTTGGGTGCCAGAGAGCCGAAAGGGCTATCCTCAAGGGGAAAGCCACTGGGCTCAGACACCGCCCTGAGAGCTGAGGCAGGGCAACGACAAAATGACAGATCTCAGCAGCAAGTCCCCTGACGGAGGAAAATCTAAACGGTGTCCTGTGAAAGAAAAGACAGGAGTGTTGTCCCGACTTATGAAAGACGGAAAAAGGCATGGAAACAACCGGGTTTTAGGGCTGGAACTAGGGAAGCCATGAACAACCGACCATTTTTCGCAAAAACTTTTTTCCATGTGCAGGCTAGGTAAAGAAATGACGCCGTAAGAACAGGACGACAACCAGCAGAACAGAGGGAGTCAGGGTACGAATAGGGACGAGGAACAGAACGAGGGGTCGGATCAGGAATCAGCAAAGTCAGAAGGGACCAGAGAAGAAGGGAAGAGCCTCTCCACAGGGGAAAGTTCAGGAAAGTTGAGGGTAGCGAAAGGGGACCGCATGAGAATAGGAAAGGGAGGGACGACGAAAAGGGAAGTCCTCGGAACTCCGGAGGAACCACGCCCAAGAAAACGAAAGTCTCGGATGCACGCCGCAAATTGGCAGAAATAGAAAGGCGGACCGCAAAATACAAGCCGAGACTGATTGAACAAATGATGGCTGGGAATGAAGAGGATCCCAAGGGGACGGGTCGCGAGAGGGACGCAGGACCAGTCAGGGCAAAGCCAGGTACGGAGCAAGAGATAACAGCCATAAGGGAACACCCAACAAGAAGGGGAAGGAAAAGGGGGAGTCCCCGGCTATAGAGGCAGAAAAGGCCATGACCCCGCCGGCTATTGACAGCGGCACTAGTCGTCTGCCCGCCACATCCAAAGCAACGAAGGGATGCGATGGACTCTGGAGTCTCTGAGAGAGGGCGTTAGTTTGGTTTGATCCAGAGGGTACGCCAAAGACTGGGGAAAAGCAGAAGGAAGGCAGGGAAGGAGAGGGGAATAGTGTGGTCGGTGAGGCGGGTAGCTCTGAAGGGGGACTTAAAAGGATAGTAGCCACCCTCACCCGGGCTCTGAATAAGAATCAGGGGTATCTCACAGATGCAAAGAAGAAACTCACTTTTGATGGGGCAAACATCACGAAATTCCTGATAGATTACGATAACCTGGCAGCGTTGTTGAAATGGACTGAGGAAGAGAAGATGAACCACTTAGGGCAGCACGTATCGCTCAGCTTAGGAAGGGACATTATGGCTATCGTCGCCTTTAGTGGCTCGTGGAAAGAAACCCGAAATGAGATGATGAGGAAGTACCTGAAGGCAGAGAAAATATCGACAGAGGCCGAATCAGCAGCGGTTCAAAGGAAAAACTATGCGACTTACAATGATTTCCTAAGGGCATTCACTCTAGTGGCACTGCGAATCCTCGGGGTGACGGACCGTATAATGAGTAAGTACTTTCTCAGGCAGTTCTCCGAGTTCGAGAAGGATAAGATCCTGTCAGCCTACCAGCAGACCAGCAAGTTCGAATACACAAAGGACGTGGACTTCAACACCATAACAGACCTAGCAGAAAAGACAATGGTGACCGAGATGCTAGCCCTGCTCAAGGAAGGGGAGGTTATAGATCTGACTGGGAAGACGAAAGATAAGGTTAAGAAGGGGATAGAGAGCATGCACGAACGAGTGCACGGGGTTGACAGCAAGATGGAAAGAGTGGAAAATGTGTTGTTAGTAATGCAAGCGCAAGTGTCCAGACCCGTCCTCCCGCCCCAAGAGACCGTAGTTCCGGCAGCTGTAGCTAATCAGGGATTTGGCAGGAGGGACCCGGCCAATGAACGATGCAGGTACTGCACAATGATTGGACAATTCGTGAGGGTTTGCCCAAGACTCAATCACGATATGGAGCGGCAGAGGTGCAGGAGGTCCCTCAAAGGCGAGATTCTCGGACCCCAGGGGAAGCGTGTAAATTGGAACTCGCCAGGAGGGCTGCGGCAAGCCGTCATCCTCTTGACTAACTTAGATATAGCTTCCATAGAAGCGGAGCCGGTAGCCGAGATTGTCTGGGACCAACCAAGGGGACGCGGACCACAGGCCAATTTTATCCTAGAAGGCAATGGGCAGGATAGGGTAAATATCACCACTCGACAAACCGGCGCAGAAAAGAAGCTTATTCAAGATACAGTAATGAAAGAACTCGCAGGGACTAGCGCAGACCAGCAAGAGACCAAAGCCGAGGAACAAGAGAAGGTCTATGGGAAAGGAAGGGAGGAGGAACCGGTAGACAAAGTTACGGCAGCAAAGAAGAAGTTCAGGTATCAAATTCCAATCCTGACTTCGCCTGAAATCGATGGCACCCTGAGTAAGCTGTTGGGTACCATGATATCAGTGTCCTTTCAGACCATGCTGCAAGCCAGCCCAAGACTGCTTAAAGGACTCAGGCAGTTGCTAACGCGTAAGCGCTCCTTTTAGGCCATGCTGCAAGCGAGCCCAAGACTGCTTAAAGGACTCAGGAAGTTGCTAACACGTAAGTACGTAGAGGTAGAGGAGGCCCCGGAACCGCAGGAGCATGAGACGGAAGAGGCAGAGGCACCCCAAGGCGTCTCCAAGCTCCAAAGAATTCCCGGGGATCTGGACGACTTGGAGAAAGTTTTTGCGGACATCCGCCTATGCCTACCGGATAGTGAAGGTGGCGAAGTCATGAGGGCGTCACCCGGGATAAAGCTTAGCTTCCATGCATTATTTGTAGGGAAACTTAAAGTCCAAATCCGAACCCACTACATTGACGTGTTAGTGGACGGCGGTGCATAAATCACACTCATACGATGAGATTTCGCAACAGTCACGGGGTGCACGGTAAACAAGGAAGTAGCAGGGAGTATCCGGGGAGCCGGTGGTGAAATCCCTTTCACAGGATATGTCACCAAATGTGCAGTCAAGGCGGGAATCCGGGAATCCATCTGGTCCTTTCAACGGATGACCGTGATGGAAGAAATGGATCATGACATAATCCTCGGGAGACCGTGGTGGGCCAATATAGAAATGATAGGAATGCATCTGCATGACGACACATACATGGTAGACATAGGGACCAAGTGACCGGCCGCGGAGAACTCCTCCTACTTCTTGGGACCCTCCAAAGGGCAAATTGGCAACCTGGTCGCCAATATTCGAAGAGAGTGCGCGGAAGGGGGCATTTACACGGATGGAAGGTATAAAGGAGAGAGTAGAAATCATGATTAAGGAGGCCTTCAGCAAAAATGAGTGGATCAAAATGGGTCTGCCTCTGAAGAAAAGGAGGCAAGAGGACGAGGTCCTAGGGGTTATGGTTGCAAAAAAAAAGTCGGAAGTTGAACTTGGGGCCAGCCTGCCCAAGGCGAAGGAAGGCCAGAAGGAAATGTCAAAAGTAATCCTTGAAGTCCCAGACTTGCTACAACTTATTAAAGCTATTAGATATCACAAAGTTGGGGTAGACTCGGCAACACTTGCCAAGTTCGAGGATGAGGTCCGAAAGGGCTATTGCCTGAATGGAAAGATAGTTAGCATCCAGCCCCGCATCATGGAGGTAGCAAGGTCAATCCCGACCGTTCATTTTTTAGGAGAACAATCCCAGAAGGCAGTGTGCGAAAGTACAAACCCGTAGGAAAGAAGGCTAAGCCGGTCTCGATCCTAGTGGAGACATCAAAGGAAGAGGCCTTGGAAAAGGAGGAGGAGGTCATGCGGGTAATAAGGGAGAGGCGAGCAACGGAAGGGCATCGGATACCTGATGAAGTAGCAGAAACCATGAAAATAGGGGTGGAAGGGTTCTTAACAACAGAGGAAACTCAGTTGATAAGGAGGGCGTGCCAAGAGTTTCATCTAGCCTTTGCCTTCAATGATCACCAGAAAGGACGGTTAGATGCGAAATTAATTCCCCCTGTTAAGATCTACACGGTAGAGCATGACTGTTGGAATGATAAAGGGTCTGCCTATGAGTTTGGGATAGCGGCAGAGGTCACCGACCTGCTTAGAGCCAAGATAGATTCATTCGTGGTTGAACCCACCGCATCCCCCTATGCGCACAAGTGGTTCATTTTCCGGAAGCCCAACAAGACGCTCAAGTGGATCCAAAACTTGCAGAAGCTAAATGTGGTAACAATTAGGGACGCGAGTTCGCTCCCACAGGCGGACTTGCTGGCCGAATCGCATGCTGGACGGAGTATCTACTCCCTTATAGATCTATACTCAGGATATGACAAGTTGTCGCTCGACGCAAGGGATAGACCGTACACCGCCATGCACACACCAGTAGGGCAGTTGCAGATGCAAGTGACTCCTATGGGTTTCACGAATGCGGTGGCAGAGGCGCAGAGGAGAATGCTGGCTGTAGCAGGAGATATGTTCCCAAAGAAATGTGAGCCATATATAAACGATAACCCCATAAAGGGTACGCAAAATAAGGATGAGACAGAGGTTGAGTCGGGTGTGCGAAAGTTTGTCTGGGATCACCTGCAGATTATCAAAGATCTCTTGCAGCGGTTCCTGGTTTATAATATTACCGCAAGTGGACCAAAGAGCATCTTGGCTGTTCCGGAGGTAACCATATTGGGGTTTCGCTGTGGGGCTTATGGGAGACGACCCGACCCAGCAAAGACAGATAAGATCTCCCAGTGGCCGACACCCCTGCACACCACGACGGAAGTACGAGCCTTCCTAGGGGTGGTCGGGTTCTGGAGGATCTTCATCAAAAGATTCGCAAAGATAGCAGAGCCTATCCGTGCGATGATCAGAGAGGGTGGCACTATGGAATGGACCGAGGATAGAGAAGCGGCAGCCCAGACCCTTAAAGACATCCTGTCTTCCGATCAGGTCACCCTAGCAGCACCCTGTTTCAACGATGAGGTATGACGACCCTTCATCTTAGAAACAGACGGGGGACCGCTGGCAGTTGGAGGAGTACTGATACAGAAGAGCGAGGAAGGCAAGGAAAGGCCAATCAGATTTGAAAGTAAGACCTTGAATTCGGCAGAACGGTGGTACTCACGGTTCAAGAAAGAGGTCTTAGCGATCCTGCATTGTCTTAAGACCTTCCAAGCATACCTGTTTGGGAGGCGATTTATCTTAAGGATCGACCCCACCAATGTTGTCGGGGCACTGAAGAATTACAAGCCTATAGATCCGACCATCGGCAGATGAATAGGCTTCATATGGCAGTTCGACTACAAGGTCAAGCGGATTACCGGGCTTCGAAACAGGGCGGATGGACTGAGTAGGGTATGCATCACGCCGGAGGGAATAGAGGATGAAGAGCCAATTGACGCCTTCCTGGAACATGAAGGGGGAACCCTTGTCGTGGACAATGAGATGGCAGACTCCAAGCTCACAACAGGTCCGCTGCTGATCCAGACTCTGGAAAAAGGTGCGCCCACGGTAGTTGCAGAGCTCAGGGAAGGGTCAGTCACCACATTTAGGCGCAAAGAGGAAAATGACTCGTGGGGAACGGCAGTAGGGCCTAAAGAGGAACTAATGGCAATGGTCATTGAAGGGGGACGAGACGCCGTGATGACCTTAGCAGAAACCTGGGCGCAAAGGGAGTGGCAGTACCTAGTTAACCAGACTCAGGAGGAGCAGGATGTTGACCAGAAGGAACGATAATTCTTTCTCATACAGATGTATGAGAGCGTCTTAAGGGAAATCGGCCTACTGCTTATAGGAAACAAGCAGCCCACGGAAGTCAGCCCCAAGGCAAGGGAGGAAGCCGAAAAGTATGTTTTAAGGAATGGCCACCTGTTCAAGAAGGAAGAGGGGATGATGCCTAGACGAGTCGTGTGCGGAAGGTCTAGGCAGTTAGACATAGTCCAGGCAATGCACGATGGACTAGCTGGAGGGCATAGGTCATCCAAAGGGACCCTTGCGAAAATCGCACCACTCTACTTCTGGCCAGGTATGGCAGGAATGGTGGCAACATACTGCCAGACATGCCTGATATGCCAAGAAAGGAGTTCCGCACGTGTCTTCGAGCCCCTTAGACCTACCCGGGTACTAGGGTCGCGGCACCTAGTCCACCTCGACCTTGCGGTTATGCCGGTGTCAACGGATGGATACAGGTATATCTTGGATGCAAGGGATAACCTCAGTGGCTACGTAGAGGCGGTAGCACTCAAGAGAAAAACGGGGAAGGAAGTGGCCGATTGGATAGAGGATTTCTACCTAAGATACCCTTTTGTGCACAGGTTCATAGCAGACAATGGGACGACGTTCGTCAATCAGGAGGTATTGAGCAGGCTTAAGACCTTGTGCGTACCCATCAAGATCATTTAGCCATACCACCCGGAGGCAAATGCACCGGTAGAAAGGGGGCATCGGACCTTGAAGAACACAATTGTCAAACTGACAGTGAATGATTTGGGAAACTGACCACGGTATCCCAAGCAGGCAGTCTTCTTTGAGAACATGACACCAAAGAGAACGACGGGGTGCATTCCAGTGGAGCTATGGTATGGAAGGGAGATTGACTTCCCAGTAGAGACCCTCGTCCCTACCTGGAACAGGTTAGACGATGATCCGCACTTGACCACGGAGGAGTTAATTGTCGCACGTTGCCAACAGGTCATTAGGAATGATGAGGCATTGGAAGAAGTGGTTAATCGTGTAACGATAGTCGGATGAGGAACAAGGCAAGGTGGGACCAGGTGAAGAATATCCGGAAGGAGCCGCTTCAAGTAGGGGAAAAGGTGCTAGTTAGGAACTCCGCTCTTGAGAGCACGTGGTCTGGGCAGCTGGGAAAGAGGTTCAAAGGGCCCTACAGGATCGCTAAGTGGGTGGGATTGAACACGTTCGAACTTGAGGACCTAATGATACTAATATAAGAGGGTCATTTCCGGGACAGAGGTTGGTCAGGTTTTTTAGCAGGGATCCTGTGGAACAGTGGCTACAAGAAGCCCAGAACAGGGAAACAGGGGAATTGACAGCCTGAAAGGCAGGCAGCTGGCTATAGTTATGGACCGCCTCCCTGTGGAAGTGATCATGACAACAGGGATTGTTCGTTTGTGTAACTTGACTTTTGTGGAACGTGGGAAGACTGCCTGGGATGACTATGAATGGGGTTGGGAGCATGGGACAATGTACTATAGTTTTTGTGGGCAACTCTGGGGACTGTCTACACGAGGTATCTAATTGCCGGGACAATGTACCATAGTTTTTGTGGGGTGATGCTGTGAACTGCCTACATGAGGCACCTATGTGTTGGGACAATGTGCCAAGGGATCTAAAGGGATTATGGGATCGCCAACTACAGGGGGGTAAGCAAGGGTTCAAGGAAGGCCTGCAAATCTGCAAATGAGGGTGGGAGGGAATGTGCGCGTATGAGGGGATGAGATGACTGTTATGGATGGACAGGACCAAGGAACAAGAAGGACAGCAAGAAAGGACAAAATGGAGTTAGGGAATGAGAATGACAGCAACGCAATCAACAGGCCGAACGAGCAGCAGCCAACAAGACAGGCTGGAGAGTCAAGCTCCAAGAAAAGGAAGTTGTATGTAGGGTTTGATCACAATCTGGTTGTGAACAGGGGGGGCAGAAAGCAAGGGACCAGGGGACCTTCACCACCAAGGGAGGGGGAGCCAATAATCCTCCCATCAGAAAGTGACACTAGCAGTGAGGAGGAAGGGAACCCGGGGAAAAGACAAGGATTGGGAGAGGAGGAGTCCATTGAAGTCATAGACCTCAGCAGCGAGGAGGAAGAGGATGAAGTGACGACACCCACAAAGGAAGTACGGGGTAGAGAGGAGGACCCGGGGGAAGAAAAGCACAAATGGAGAAGAGAATTTGGGCAGTCTTTCACCGACTGGTTCGACTAATGGGCCAGCATCCTGCGATACGGATGGGCAATGAAAGGCACGCAAAAGTTGAACAGAGGGGAGGACATATCCCCAACGACTTCCTTTACGGAGGAGGAGCTTCTTGGCCTACAGAGGTCAAAGAGACTAATGCAACAAGAATTTGAGGCTCGTGCGAAGGAGGCTCGACGCAAGGCAGCTGGGCAGTAAAGGGATAATGGGCAGAATGGGGGTTAGCTAAAAATTGATGGAGGGTTGGTACCTGGGCAGGTGGGACTGTTATTTTGAATTGCGCATCTGAAACTTTTTGAATGGACTGTGATGGGACAACTTCTGGACTCGAAATGGCTAAGGAAAGGGTAATGAATACTACTTTACACAAGTAGTTGATTCTTCAGAAAGGACATGAGGATCACTGCATTTAGAGGGTAGGACTGTGAATGGTTGGGCTTTGTCTAAAGCAAGGTAAAAACAGAGGGACCTAGACGAGACGAGTCTGTATGTTGTCTTTGCATTCGAACTTTGTTTCTTCGCCTTTTAAAAAAACTGCGATGTAATTGCCTTTGGATTGGGGGGGGGGGAGCTCGTAAGGGGAAGGGTAACCAGTGCTACTTTGTATGAGTACTCGCTCCTTTTGAAAATTGGAAGCTTTTTGGTAGTAAGGAAGGGACTGGGGATGGTTGACTCTGCCTCTAAAAGGGCAAGCAAGGGCATGTGAACTACTGAATGTTGGAAGAAAACGTTCATGACGAAAAACCTTTTCCTCTGAATTATGTATCCATGATTGAATGAGTCATTGCATGAGTTCGTGTGAGAGGTTAGGGGACCTATGGGTAAAGAGATATCCTCTTCCCTAGGAGCCTAATCCAACCTATCCCAGACAAGGCCAAAACATTGAGAGGATATGAGAAGTCAAGAAAGGAACCAATTAGCACTCCTTGTAATGATTGAATGGTCGGGCGGGCTGGTGTTGCTTGGGGTCACGAGCCCCAACTCGAGCACTAGACGCTAAGTCGGATGTATGGATGGACATAAGAATGACAAATGATAAAAGAAAGAGAAAGAACCATGCGTCAAAACTCGAAAAGATGGACGCCTTCTAACCCCCGAGACGAGATAGGATCCGTGTCCTCGAGGCCCACCCCCTCGGACGCTAACATTGCAATGGAAAAGGATGACCCTAACCAGGCTGCCCAATTAAAACGGATAAGGATGACCCTAACCAGGCTGTCCAATTGGAATGGATAAGGATGGTCCTAACCAAACTGTCCGATTACAATGGATAAGAATGACCCTAACCAGGCTATTCGAGTTGGAATTGGAAAGAACGACCCTAACCAGGTTGTTCGGGATGGCCCCTGACAAGGGTCATTCTTTGGAATTGGCACTGGGGTCCCCTTGCATGGCTGCTTGAGATGCATGATATGAGAAGAGTTGAGCTTTGAAAAAGACATTGGGAAAAGTTGAGCTTTGGAAAAGATATTGGGAAGAGTTTTGGAAATGATATTGGAAGAGCTGAGTTTTGGAAAAGATATTGGGAAGAGCTGAGCTTTGGAAAGGATATTGGAAGAGCTGAGCTTTGGAAAAGACATTGGGAAGAGCTCAGCCTTGGAAAAGATATTGGACTCAGCCTTGGGAAAGATATTGGACTCAGCCTTGGAAGAGATATTGCATTGAGGTCTGAACTGAGGTTGAGCATGGGAATGAGACTGAGCACTGGAATTGGATTGAGTACTGAAAAATGCATTGCATAAACAGGGGACCCCAGGCAACTTGAAATGGACTTGGAAAGAGCATTGAAATGAAATTTCTCTTTTCTTCTAGTCTTTGGCCTCAGCAAGAGGGGGATACCAGTGCATGCACCGCAACCCCAAGACCTCTATCCCTTTGAGGGAAAAGTCTCAGCGCGACCTGTTCCTCTTCGAGGGAATGGGGGTGAAAGGACTAAGGCACCTACTACTTGGATCGGTGCAAGACGTCCGGAACCACCTCCGACAATGAGCTCTAGTCGGGGAGTTCAAATTGTGTCTCCTGTTGAATGCCTAAACGTCAAAGGGCGAGAGAGCTAAATGGGCAAGGAAGTCATTCTCATCTAGTTTATCTTGCCCTCTCCAACCACACACCATATCATAGAGGGGTGTCATGGTCGTTTGGGCCAGACCTCGGCTGCCCGCACTAAGTTGGGCAGCACTGTCCAAGGGGAAGGGCTTGGCGGAGTACCGGGTGGAGTCCGCGGCCACCACGGGGCATTGACACTGCCCTGCCGGAGCATTACAACCGCTTCAGGACTAATTGCGAGGTCTTTGTAACTGCACTCGCGGACTAATCGAGAGCCCCAACTCTCTTGAAAGAAAGAGGCCAGAATCCAGAAAAATCACCACTCGGTAGGAACGATTCGCGAGGATCGCTCTTACGGCTAGACGAGGCCCTGGGAGGCTTGGATTGGACCTGCCTGCCGGACGTGGGGAGAAACCTCAGTAATGGTGCTCGCCACGTAAGAGAAGAAAGGTCGGACCGAGTAGGAGGATGAAGCGTCGTTCGCTGGGGAGGAACTGATCACTCTTCCTTTTGTGAAGCTGGTGGGTTTGTGTCCTTGACTGCGGTTCGTGGGCCAAAGGTCTCCGTACCTCCGAGTGAGAATCAGTCGCGCGATGGGAACATCGCGTTTTGAGTGGGGGGAAGGTGTGTCATCTACCAATAAATACGCATGGAAAAAAATTTGTAATTGGCTTTGCATGGGCCTGAGAAAAGGGGTCTGGCAAGACGTCAAAAAAAAAAAAAAAGACTTGTAATTGGTGTTGTATGGGTCTGAGAAAAGGGGGGTCTGGCAAGAGGCCGAGACAGAAAGGACTGGAGCAAGTGACATAGTATGAACTTGAGAAAAAAGGTCTGG